TCTCTAGCTGGTATAAGTAGAAGAAAGTAATATAAAAAGATATATGTAAGTGATGTCATATCTTTTATATTAAATGAGCAATGACCAACTATTGCTTAAGTGCACGGTTATAAAAGGAGCGCCTAGTCGTGACTGGCATACCAAAGGGACGCCGACGAACAACTAGCCATTAACATTATAAGCATACTGCAAACTCGCCTCAGAAAAGATCTGTGTAGATACTAGACTTTTTAAGAATGCTGCACTAAGATTCCCTTAATGAGGAATTTCAATAAAGCTCTGATTTTCCAGCTAGACAATGAAACTGAAGAAATCAGGAATAGTTTACAACAAAGCTTCAGTTTAGAAATTCTCATCGACAACTCTCGTGCTAAAAGTGTAACGAATTTTCGAAGTAAGCTAATCCTCGGATCAGGTGGAGTGTAAATAAAAGAGAATGTAGTTATGGAGAAATAGAATTATACGTGGCAGCGGCTAGTTATGCGTGGCGTCTCGGAGGGTGCCGACGAGCAAGTAGCCTCTGTACTGGGAAATCTCCTGAAGAGCCTCCCCAAACTGTTAGGATTCATCGGATAAACGTCAACAGTCGAAATCTAATGCGTTTGAATAGATACTAGCAGCGACTAAGGACTGAAAAATATTTTGAAATAAAGTGTGAGAACGGCTTTTCTACACGTACACAATATTTGAATAGTAAGTACATTTGACGCAAAACATCACTCAAAGACTTTATATTTGCTATATTGGAAGTAGATATGAATGAAATCAAAGGGAGTTTTTCTGTTGATGTGTGCTTTTGTCTGCGTTTATTGACGTGTCGGAATGTATACCGGTATATTCGGACTACCTGCCTAGTCTGACGACTACCTTGAGTAGGAGCTTCTTTCAAGCATGGTATTCCGATTACAGATCAGATATAATATGATTTAGTTGAAGCTAGAAGTTCAGCCAATCTCATATTTTTCTAGAGAACGCTCTAGTAAACAACACTGTCGGCAGATGTGCTGGTAAGCATACGGACTTCTAGTAGAATTTTTAAAAGTATGGCGCGTTTTCACAATAATGTCTCGAACGCGTTTTGCTTAATGCGCGAATATCAGTTTGATTAGATGAATTTATGACAATGATCATACAGACCTGCAAATCATTGTGGATAACGAAACTGACGCTAAAATCAACTTCTACACACCTACCCACCATTTTGAAACGTTGAATACTAGCTTTGTTGAAGACTGCAAAACAGTATATAGAACTAAGAGCTGATTATCCAGTGGAGGGTGCAGCAAGTCACATGGACGAGCGTTACTTGTCAGTTACTGAATCTATAAAAAACAGTGGTAGTCGTTTCTTTTTGTTTTTTTTAAATTGATTCAAGATGTCACTAAAAATCACCGTGACAAAACTCCTAAAAAGCAGGAGAAAACAGGAGAAAATATGAAGACCCAGCTTCTAGTTCCAGGTGAACTTGGTACCACGAGAAAAGTGAGGAAAACCAGGAGGCGCCTGGCTAAATTAGCAGATTTTGCAGATCTATTTCTAATTTGTCACATCTTGTAGGCAACTACTTAAAACGACATTTTCTTGCGTAACTGACTCATTATCTCAGCGTCGCGACGTGGGCGTGAAGCGCTTCCCAAATTGCCAAGACTCATGCAGGTCTTTGCGTACATAGTAATGGAAGTTTGTTATTTTTGAAGCATGCTGGCTATAACTTTTTCGAAGCTAGCTGCATATCCAACTCGTTCGCTTGCATATGCTACATTGCTGTTGTCAGTGAACCGTCTCAAGTGGTTCACCTAGCATCCCTGGTAACATCCGTAGCATTCGCATTTTAGGTGATATGTGAAACATACCAAGGAATTCTTGTAGCATTCAGCGTAACATCTGTACTCGAAAAAGTAACATCAGTATCATTCTAGCTGATACTTGTAGCATCTCAGGTAACAAGTGTACCATTCTGCACGATATCTGTAACATCCTCGGTTCCTTCCGTACCATGTCTGTGATACTTGTAGCATGATACGGGATGCTTAAAATAGCCAAGGCTAAACCTCGCAGCTTTCTGCCTGACACTTGTAGCATCCTATGTGGTACGCGAAGTGTCTCAAGTGATATGTAGAGTTGAGGAAACGAGATCCGTGGCATCCCTCGAGATACCTGTAGCATCTGAGAATAATACAATACTTGGTTAGCTGAAATTCTGCTCAAGAATTGAATTCAACTACCAGTTTTGTCACGGCGTCAGAGGAGAGAAACGAAGCGTCACCGAAGAGCCGCGGCCCACGCTTGTTTTCTGTGCACACAGTGATCAAACAAGTAAAAATTGAAATGATAGTGATAATTTATATAAAATTTAATCTTTTGCTTTTCTCTTATTATCATATGAGTGCTTTCGTATTAATAAATTATAACATATATTAAATTTAAACCTTTTCATTTCTTTTATTATAACATTAGTGCCTTCGAATCAATAAATGATAATAAACTATAATCTTTTTCTGTTCTGCTATTATTACATGTGTTCTTTGGAATTTAGAAATTATAGTTTATATACAATTTCCACTTTAGCTCTTCTGGTGTTCTAACAGTGGTGCCTTCGAATTTGTAAATTATAATTTATATAAAATATAGTCTTGTGCTGTTTTTGCTATTCTAACACTGATGCGAATTGTTTTCAATTTTCTATTTATCTTTGACCTCGAATTACACATCTACTCAAAAAAATATATATATTCTTGTTCAGCTCGTCACGTTCACGTAACTATATGCATATATAGGCAATTCTGTTTGAATTTTACTTTCCGGGTGCCTTATATAAATATAAGCACGGGAATAAACCGCAAAACACCTATGCCGATCAGTCTTTCCATCTAAAAAAGTGGCTTATATACTTTTATATAAGGGTATATAATTTTGAAATCCATTTTCACTGAGTTCCCAATTCTTATTTGAGTCTGAGAGCATCTATCTTCTGAATTCGAATAGATGAAAAGGAATTCACTTGCTATCGTGAGGAAAGAACACTATACATTGCTATTGGCATCAGTTGAGAATACATAGATCCCCTCTATTCTTATTATCAAAAAAATCGTCTAAAGAGAGCCTAGTTTGGCAAATACATACATTGGTGCGTTGGATTCGTAGCTAATATTGTCTGTCCAGAACTAATAAATCACTATAATGTATCGAAGGTGTTCTTTGCTTCAAACAAAAGCATAATGCTGCTCATATACACGTTGAAAAATGCTTTTTTGCTTCATGCATCCAACCGTATCGGAAAAATCATAAGAATGATTTTAATACAAAGTTTGTTTTTTTTTGTTTGGAAATTTTACTATTCTTTGTCGTATTCTCCCGTTCGTCCTTCGTGCAGCTATACTATAGTAATACAGAAAAAAAATGTGCATCGAAATAAGCATGAAATAATGATGAGGATATTATTAAATCATATCTGCTTTTTTTTGGTTGTAAATTTTACCATTCTTTGTCTTATTCTCTCGTTCGTCCTTCGTGCAGCTATACGATAGTAATACAGAAAAAAAAATGTGCATCACATTATGCGTGAAATAATGATAAGGATATCGTTAAATCATACTTCGGTTTTTTTTGGTTGGATATTTTACTATTGTTTTGCTTGTTTTCTCTTTCGTCCTTCGTATAATTATACGTACTAATACAGAACAAAAAATGTGTATCACAACCTGCAGGAAACAATGATGAAGATATTGTCAAATCATATCTTATTGTTTTTTGATTGGAAATTTTAGCTTTAATTTACTAAATATTTTGAATCTTGTTTATATTTATTTATTTTGTATATCTTTATTCAAAAAATAAAATGAAATAAAAATAATTAATTTCAATTTATTATAATATTTAATCAATGATTATTCGAAAAAATAATGACGTGACGTTTCAACAATTGAAGTTGTCTTCTTCCTCTATTCGACTATCACTAGCTTGCATGCTCGTGATGGATAAATGTCTTTTCTCTTTCATTTCTATGGTTCCGTTTATTAGTGTAAATGTTTCATATAATTGACGAAGTCTTTGTGCATTAATTTTATTCTGACGATTTATTGATTTGTTAATTATCGGATAAATATATGCCCTTTGATTCATCATTTCTTTAGATGATTCTCATTGTCAATGACAAATGCTTCATCCAAAGCAAATGTGCATTGATATGTATTACCTTGATGGTGATGTGCAAACTCCGAATTCGCTTTAATACGGTTGTTTTTAATTATTCCTTTGTGTTCTGATGTTCATTTATTTAAACCAAGTTTTTTTCTCCGTTTTCAATTGCTTCGCACTCACCTGTTATCTAATAAATGTTCGATGTAGATTTTTGTTTAGCTACCCACGTGAGCAAGCGACGGGGTAAATGTCTAGTCCTTTTTCTAGCCATTTGATCCATCCTGACTAGTCTTTATCTGAAAAAGTATTCTAACATGACTAGTTCGACGTTTTTGTGCGTTATTAATATCTGTCTTGACCACACAATTGACGGGCATCGTTGTTCATGCCTAGTCTAGTCTTCTTTTCAAGAAAGACCCGTCTAGGACTGCTTTGAAGTCGGTTGATATACAAAATTACTTAGGATGTACCAAAAGTTCGAATCACGATGTTTAAAATTTTATAAAACAGTAAATATTGAATGTTTTATGATGGAAGGATATAGTATAACGTCTCGTCTTTAATAATCTATAGAGCAGCTCTATCTTGGATTTAGCTCTAATATCCTGCTAGACTAAGCCTATAATTTAGCGATTATGCTGATATTTAACTAATCCTTATCCAATGTTCAGGTATATTCTGGAACTCCATATTTTCCATTGGTCACTCTCTCTCGTCACATTTTATGACGTCATGTTCTAGAATATTACATTTCAATAATATATATAGATGAGAGGTCGTTCACTGTCAGCACATTTGTAGCGCACTTGATTTCAAATCGTGATAGAGTCTTATTTCAACTTTAAAATGATCTATTAAACATGACTGATGAATTTAATCGATACTATATCAAAATTCGAGTTATTTTAGGAATAGATTCAAAAACAACTTTCAACGAACTTACACAAGCATTGGGACCTGATGCTCTATCATATCCAATGGTCAGAAAATGGGCCAAACGTTTTCGTGAAGGAAGAGAAGATGTCAGTGATGATCCTCGATCTGGTCGTTCGATTTCGATATTTACAGATGAAAATATTGAGCGCGTTCGACAAGTTATCGAAGATGATCCACACTCAACTTATGATGATATTACGGTTGAGATTGGTCTATCTCGTGGTATAATAGAACGAATTATTCATGATTGTCTAAAGATAAGAAAAGTTACGTCACGTTGGGTTGCTCATCAGCTCACTGACGAACAAAAACAAGAACGATTTAGAATTTGTCATCCAAATTTAGAGAAATTCGGAAACGAAACATGGCGGTTATGTGATATTATTACTGGTGATGAGACATGGATTTATCACAGAAAGATTGATCGAAAGTCAAGCAATTCTACCTGGGTTGGTGCAAATGAACCACCAAGGACCGTTATTCGTCGGAATAGATCTGAATCTAGAACACTGTTTTGCTTATTCTTTAAATCCACTGCGTCCTGTTCTTATACATAAAGTAGATAAAGGCAAGACTATCGATCACAACTACTATATTGAAAATTGTCTCATACCTATTCTCAATGAAACAAGAAAAAAAGGAAAATCATCACGCACAAAATATAAACTGCTTCATGATAATGGTCGTCCTCATACTCATCGAGATGTTGTTAATTATTTAACAGAGGAAGGTATCGAAATAATTCCACATCCACTACATTCACCGGATCGTGCGCCATGTGACATTTGGCTAAATGATTATATCAAGAGGAATTTGACTGATCACACAACCGAAGAATCCCTAGCTCAGGAGGTTTCCACAATAGTGAAGAATATGTCAATAAACGAGTTTAAAAAGACTTTCGATAAACTGTTAGAAAGGATGGAACTTTGTATAGAAAATAATGGTGATTATTTTGAGCATTTAATAAAATAAAACTACGAATATTTCTTTCTTTTCGTATTCTGATTTCAGGTTGTCAGGATCTTTTCTTGGCCATAAGTACTATAGATTTTACCTAGCAAGATGTTAGAACTAAACCCGGATAAAGCTGCTCTATAGATTATTAAAGACGAGACGTTATACTATATATTTCCATAATAAAACATTCAATATTTACTGTTTTATAAAATTTTAAACATCATGATTCGAAATTTTGGTGCACCCTGAGTATAACTTCTTTGGATACATCGATATATGCAACAATATCTCAAATAATATATTTTGCTAAATAAGTCGATGTTACAACAAGAGTTTTGCGAAAACAGTTCAATCTAGGTTAGAGTCACATAAAAAATGATTTCCAGATTTATCTTCACAGCACTTTTATGAGACAAATGATTATATTCCATGTAAAGAGTCAAAACAAGCATTAATTAAGATACATGTTCATCTGTCAATTCAACACTTAATGTTCAACCCACTTGTGTTAGAACTGTTCTGGAAAACAGTAAGATGTGCATAATCATTGGTGTAAGGATTGTTTTTGATCTTTATTAGTATTATTTTCGTAATTAGTCGAATGAAATTTGTGGTCATCTCAGTAATCTGTTTGTTAAACATCTGCATGGTCATGCCGAAAGCATATCTGACATTGCTGTCACCTTTTACATTCATACTCATCTTACATATATCGTGAAGCTCTCTACCGTTTCACTTTTCTCTACTTTGTCGTCGTCTCTGAATCCGTTATCCTTTCAATTTTGGTTTTTACTCTAATACATTTTTATATCAATTGCGAAAACGAGATTCAGTTTACATGAGCACCTCAATAATTATGTTGAACCTTTGTTAAGAAAAAAGATTAACTGTTACTCTTTAATCTATTAAAATGAGGTGTAAAAATTGGCAATGGGCAGCACTTTATATTTTCATACGGTGTAGAAAGAATTCTCTTGTTTTTCTTGCAAAACATTTGGTGAGTTTTCAGCACTATTTATATCCAATCTAGATAAAATAAGAGTTTTCAATCATCATATAACCCATGTCGTGAAAATCGTGATTAATCATATTTCGCTAAAATATCAGTTATCGCGATTATGAGAGAAGAATCAATTTTTCGAAAATCGGTGATAAATCGCGTTGAATAACCGATTTCGATCACTGATTATGAATTATGAATTAACTCAAAAAATATTTAAATATTTATTAAACTGAGATCAAGGTATAATTTCTACATGGTAATTTAACATAATTATAAAAATTTTGAAGCCAAAAGAAAGATTTCATTTCGACACGGATGTCGTTACTGTCACACGAATAAGATTGGACAATATTAAATAACGACTGAACTTAATCTCTTTTTTTTACATTCATTCGTTTCAAAATTTTTCTTTCGATAACAGATAGTTTGTTTCAGATATATTTTTAGCTAAAGTATTTTTTTTAATTAGAATTTTTCACATAGATCTAGTTTTAGATAACTCAATTCATCTACGATATATTCAAACCGAAAAAACTTGACTTTCTTCTACAAACCACGTCGTCTATCATCATCATGGTATGTAGTCCTACCTTGTTTTTTACAATTTTGATTGGTGCATGTGAAATTCAATTTAGAACATCAATTACTACATATGAACGTTTTGTTATTTTTTTTTCGAATATCCTATCGGCTTACTATGTAAAATTACACATCATGTTTTTATTTTCGTTTTTATTGCATAATTTGTTCATGTAAAATAGTGTAATTTTTCATTTTTTTGATAAAAATCTTTGTAAAAATTAAATCAATAATTAAAAGTGTTGGAGGTGATAAGAAAAAGCTAAGTATATATCCATGAAATCGCATAGAATATCGGTGAATAGAGAAGAAAATCGCGATTTATCGCAAAAATCGTCGAAATAATTGAGAATAATCGGTGATTTATTGCGTTTCAACTCTTGATTATCGTTTCGATAAATCGCGATTAATCACCAATTTTTTACCGATTTTAAGGACATGAGAATGGTTATAAAGCAAGGGCATATTCTGTTGATCAGCATAAGAGTTAGATCTGTAATTATTTTCATTTGAAAGATATAAGGATCTCACTCAAGGTCATAGGTTGAAAATTTTTCTAATTTGATTGTCTAAAAAAATCTTTCTAAGCATAATTTTTATACTCGGGACGCCATATATTATCTAAGTTGGATACAAGTTATTTTCAAAACTTATCCTGTCTCTATCAATAAAATTAAAAGAATTATTTTGTTGATTGTACAGGATGCTGAAAATTGAAGCTTTTTAGCTCTAGTTATTTTATTATTGTTTACAAAATGCATTTTTATCATTTAAAATAAAAATTTTGGTTTTTATTCTACAGTAAAATCTCTACTACTAGTGGACATCTTCTTAATCTGAGCAGTGAACTTTTTTCCGGTACCTTTTGCTATTGTAACCTCTATAATGTCAACATGTATTTTCGATTTCGATTTCGTTTTCTTTTCTATCTCCTATTTGTTATGTACAATGACCATGTACATTTTGTATGTGACTCGGCTATTGTACATATGAAGGAGAAAACGATATCACGACACGAGATTACCTTGCAAGAAAAAAATACTATTAATTCATAATAGAAAAGGTAGTAATAATTTATCACAATGTAAATTGATTGAAAAATATATTATTATAAGTGTTAAATGGAACTTAAACGAAAACAATACACAAAAACTCGAGAATCAAGTTTACGAATAATTTGTAAAGCTACATGGAAAAAAATCAGTGAAAAAGCAAAAAGACTTTTCTTTTAAATAAAATTTTGTTTTGTAAATGATAAATCTTTCAATCCAAATCGTTTAAATAAAAAGAAAATACGAACAAAAGAATAAATAACCAGACCTTTATTACGGACCAACAGGGAAGTCGATTTTTCTGAAACTTTTTCTTTACTTCACATCAAACCATGCTGCAACCCTCTAAAGTGAACAATTTCGTTTAGTGAACGTTCTTGAATGATTCCATGATCAAATATTGACATCACTCTACATTTTTTTAAAATGACCAGAATCACTACGAAAATAATAATATCATCTTTCTTATTCTAGAAATCTTTAGATTGCAGAAGTTTTCGTATGTTATAAAGGTATCTTCTTTCTTTCTAGGTTTGTAGAGAATTACGCAAAAGACATTTCAAAATAAGATAGAAACTTTTATGATTTGTTTCGACCGACATTTTACAATAATTTAAACTAAGTCAATAAATTTATTTTCAAGAGTTATTAAATAGATTTAAAACAAACACATATCCATAAAATATTTGATAAAAATTTCAATCCCGTATATTAACAAATCATTTGATAGAAAAAAAAAGCATATTGTTGAAAATAAAAATAAAGAAAAACCTGATTAAAAACGAGTACTGATAATTATAGATGATTTTTCTTTTTCTTTTTCTTTGTAAGCTCCCGTTGGTAATAAAGTTTTTTTAAATGTTGTATTAATAATAGCAGCAGCTGAAGAATACCATGCTAAAGTAGCAAGAATTATTCCTAGTCATTCTCCAATATTTACCAATACAGGTACATCAGCCAGAAGATTAATTATTAAAAATAAAAATATAAAATTCAATATAGTAATCAAACTAAATATAAGTTTTGAAACTTTCCAAGCAGCAATATTCATATAAATAGTAAAAATAAACCATGATAAAAGAAAAAGTCCAGTTGCTTTTTTTTGTTTTATTAAATGATTCAATTTTTGGTACAATCAAATAAATATAAGCAGCAAATGACATCCAAAAAGTTCCGTAACTTGTAAATGTTGTTGCACCAAATGTATCATTAACTCGAAATTCTCACATACTAGCAACAAATTGTGTTAAACCACCATAAAAAAATGCAACTGGTAACACAACGAGTTCTAAACGAGGATCAATTAAATTTGAACCAGCATTAAATACTGAAAGCATAATTGTTGGTAATGAAAATGAAGCAAGACCAAGAGGACCTGGATTTCCAATCGCATTCGATACATTAACAGAAGGACTTTGTAATTTTGTTAATCGTTCTAATATTGTTTCTAATTGTTTATTTGTTATTGACAAAATTTTTTGTGATGCTATACAAGAATTCCCTGTAGGAATCATTTCAAGAACAGTGTCTTGATTTTGTTGGTTCATCATTGATGAATTAGACAAGATTTTCTTTTCGAATAATGTCAACAAATTTATTTTTCTTATTTAATAGTTGCTGTGCTATTATTGTAATACACTCAAATACAAATAGGCTATTGTATACTTTGGAATAAACAACGCAAATCATTACGAAAAAAAAAAACAAAGCTATGCATCACTAACTGTGAATGTGATTGATATGTGTCTCGTTTACTTAGACGTAATTTAATATCACATTTTATGAAAAAACTAATCAATGTTACCTTTTTGATTTTGACTCTTGTTTTAAAAGATTGATTTTGTCCTCTTAACTGCTTTCGATATACTATAAATTTATATTTAATCTTTGGCCACCTAAAGCGATCCCAGAATAGACAATTTAAATAACTGTATCATCAATGAAGACATTTAATCAATGATAAATTATTTTTTGACTACTATTGTGATAAGATTCGCTAAAAATATATTCATAATATGTTTCACCCGGCTGTTCCTTCTCAATAGTTGTTTCAGGGTTCACTCGATGTCTTACAATTCTTTATCTGCCAAGCGATTATGAAATTTTGAAACGCATTTAGTTTAATAGTAGACATTTTTGTCGATACAAGTCATACAACATGTCCCAGAAATTTATATTGCTTGTAAGAGAAAACCACTTTGTTTTTAGATTATCGTTCTTTTTTTTAATTTTTTCGAATCATCAATTTTTTGAAGTCATATATCTTGATGACAAATATTTTTTTTTATCAATTGATAGTTTGTGGAATTCCTTACAAATAATGTCTTTGGAGTTCTTAACCTCATGGTTTCTTTATTTTCTGTGATCTTTCTACAAATGAGTCAAAAACAGGGCTGCCAGATCTTCTTACAGAAAAAAAGAATAAGTTTGTGAATTTTGAAAATTTTTCTAATTTTCTTCCGAATGCTGGACTCTTTTAGATTGCAATTTCCTTAGTAATGAAAAGTATGACTATAACTTGTTATTGTAACGATGCTCAATTTAAAACAAGAATGAATAGTAATTGTTCTTGCGAACAATTTTTATACATACTTTAATTGAAATACATCTGTTAAAGCAAAATCAAAAAATACAAAATATGAGCAATAATATCACATCGGTATTATATAACTTATTTTTCTTTTGTAGAATTGCTCAACCTAAATGATGTATATTTAGTTTATTTTCGTATCTTTTTTTCAATGAAATTCGACTCTATAGCGGAATGCCTATGAATATAAAGTATTGATCGATTAAAAAAATGCTCGTAAAACATTTAATATCAGCATATTAACATAACAAATAATAATTTATAAAAAAATGTTTTTTCTGAATTATTTCTAAATTCGCTCAAAAAATTTTATACATAATAAATAATGTATCAATATTAAGCTACACATCAAAATAATTCATTTTATTTTAAGATATTGAATAAACACCGACTATATTCATCTATTTATATCTTTGATTTTTTTATATTAGTATTATTAGAAAATTGATTTGTACCTAATTTTTTTTTCTCTTGATGATAAACATTGGATTGACATATCATTAATCAAACATACTTTTTTTAGAATTAATAATAATAAATCAATAGTAATGTTGATCATTATCTTTGTCTATACATTCAGATAAAAAGACACAAATATCAATCAGATTTAATCAATAAAATACCAATGAAGTATAATTTAAATCAGAATTATATTAGAAATAATAATTCATTTTATTATCATTTACTACTATTTTTAAATATTGACCGTACTTATGTCCGTTGAAATAGATTGGCAATACAAAATGTAATAAAGATAAGAGAGCAATACGAACAATACAAAGACACTAAGTACGGATATTGTCAGTATAAATTCAAACAATATAACTTGTTTCAATTTTCAATTATATTTATTTAAAAAAAGGCATATTTTATTTTCAAAAAGAAAACACGAAATCATATAACCCTTAAGAGTCGAATGTCCCTTCCAAGGGACATTTAAATAATTGTAATCAAAGTCTTATAAAAATGTTGTAGACAAAAACCAATGTTTTTCTGGATTGATATGACTTTCGAGGCCATACCTAGACCAATATGTAGTATTCAGGTGCCTGTCAGGCGTAGCAAAACACCTTTTTGGTCTGATGACTTTTTTCAATAACACCTTTCTTCCCTAAAGTTGTATCTATTCGGAGATGCGACATACAGTGTAGTTTATTTTACGTTACACTCTTAAGCTTATCACCAAGCTATTCAATGTCAGCGTTCTAGAATCTTTTAACCGATCTACTGACAGATTGTGCCGTGATCAATAAAAAATTCCTTTGGTAAGACATTCAGCCTCATAGAAGAATCAAAACAATGTATTTCTAACATGAAACTTGGCTCTTACATAGCCCTAGTAGTGTTTAGGAAGTTTCAAAATTTTCAGGAACAACTGTTGTTTCTTTCGCGAGATACAGAATATTGAAGTTTTTAGCAATTTTTAGCAAAATTTAGCTGGTTTTTGGATTTCGAATATCTCAACAAGAAAGCATCCGTTCTAAGTGAAAATTTCGGAGCATATTAAGTATTATCAAAACTATCTAAAGGCAAAGTTTCAGATCGAAATTCCTATTTTTTCGAATTATTACAGGGGTGGATATTCCTGCCAAAGGAGGTTGTGTAGGTCCAGAATAAGAAGAAGATAATTATTTTTAACTGTAGTACGAGTATACTGAGGGTCCATGATCTCTGTTTTTCTAATTAGATTCTCATTTTTATAAGCGGAAGCCACTTCGGCTTTTAAGGGATAACTGTATATTTATTATTTGATGCATCATTTATAAACAATTCTATTTTATTTTAATCATAGATTCAAACAGCGAGTTTTTCATAATAGAATCAAACTTCAAAACTAACAACTAATGGACAAACATTTATATTTTTCTTTCAATATGTAGGAAAACGTTCGACAACGATTTGGTTTTAATAATTCCAATATGCTGAATAATTTTCATCTTTAATTGTGGTTGTTTTTATAGATGTTTATTTTAATTTATTTCGATAAGACAAATCGAATCATATTAAGTCTAGTAACTGTAAAGTTTATCAAAGTATTTTATCGGTTTCTAAACGACTGTTCATCAAACTTACCAATGCAAAATAGTTTTATACTGTTTTCGAGAGTATGAGATACGAATGTGACCATAGATCAAGAGACGATGAGCATCCACATCCACGCCTCACACCCAAATTTCATGCCAAACGGTTTATTCTTTCTTTAGATGTAGACATACCAAAATTGAAAATATCACTGAACAAAAGAAGCCAAAAGTGTCTGTAAGCGTAAAGAGGCTTGAAGAAGTGTGACAAGAACGGATCATAGATCAAAAGTCAGATCAATGAAGGGAAATCCACTTTTGACTACTACCAAATAATATTTGATCAAACGTGAAAAAACTTTAGAAACCAACAATATAGCGTCCTTTCTTTTAGCCATAAAGCACTAGATTATGGTTTCGTTAACCTTGTGATCTCTATATTTCCATGTAGAGTTGAACTAGAAGATTGAAACTTTCAGAAAGTTTGAAAAATAATAAGAAGTACTGGCAAAAGAAATTCAGGAAAATTAGTGAAGAGTATCTAGGTTTATTCTAAAATTTCACTTCTTACACAAATGGCACAATAGCTATACAACTGATCCAAATTGTAGAAATCCTTTCAAACATTCAGTTTCATCGAATTTCTAGCCAATTGCCTTGATTTGGCATGTCAGATGTGTTTGAACGTTCCTGTGCGTATTTTTTAAAATTACTGTTGAGACATTCGTCTCTACAAGCGTTCATTGTAAGATCTCTGCCTTTTCTCCAATCCTCTTCTGCCTTAGTCCATTTTGAATGGCGAAAATCTCAACGTTCAAACATAAGTCTGTATAATAACATTGCGCGACCTATGTCTCCAACTTCAAGCAATAGAGTGCATATTTGAGTAAATACAGAAAAACATGTCATTTTGACACAATAGATTTAAAAAAATAAAGCACTCTGCATGCGCATGAAAAAACATGCGACGACAACAACGAAAGCTCGACAAAAGAAAGAAAGACAAAAAAAAGACTTTATCTGTATACAAGTTGCTATTAGCAGCAAACGAACACCACATTACTTTTTAAAATAATTTTTTCAGTTGTATTTTTTGTGTTTTTTTCATTAATAGGCGTTATTCTTCGACAATAGTGAACCAATAATAGCAACAACGAATTCATCTAATTTGATTGAGACTGCTTTGACTACATGCGATAGTATTGCGATTTTCAAACAATTTCTGTCGAAAACCCAAGGTTCATGCAAATAAGGCTTCGAGTCGTTATCACAGATACTAGAAGAGATTGACAATATATTAAGAGCAAAGCCTAATTCTGATTTTCATGGTGTCGATGTGGGTGTGGGTGTGGGTATGGGTGTGGATATTATTTAAGTAAAATTCAACACCCACACACCATTCACCATTTCATTTTGTGGACAGAAGTCTTTAAGTAGTATCCATAGAGAGACTTGACAGTAATTATAAAGGTAGACGTAAGCAATGAAAATATCTCGAATAGAGTGAGGACAAATGAGTGAAATAAAAACAAACCGATGCCTCACTGCTGAAAAACGTTGATTTGTCCAAGTAATGTGCTGAATTCTATTTAGAATGAGCAATCGATTACAAGAAAATTTGTCGCAAATCCAATAAAATGAAATTCTTTCTCATGTTTTTTACGTGCTTGGTTGTAGACAGGTATATTCTTCATGTTTCACATATTTTTGCATGCAGCGTGTATATATAGCTTATCTTAAACGAAGGAAAGCAATCGTTCATTTACTGATTTGTTATTCCATTTATCACTAAATAGATGAATGTAAAATAGCGTCATCTCCAACAATTTCTGTTGATATTGTATATAAAAGAATGTCATTCAAGTTTGAAATGCAAAAAACATTTGTAATTTGTTCTCTAAATAAATAAAAATTATCTTACTTTGTTTGAAAAGTTCCT